CGTGTGTCTTCCTCCAATGTCAAATCATTTCGTTGCAACCTGAGCACCGCAACGGTGCCGAAAAAGTTCGCTATTTAAAATGTAGACATCGATCAGTCTCAGCGATCCATCTGCGTCAGCCACCCCATCATCGTCACCATGTGACGATAATTTCCTTTCTTATGCACTTCTTGACACTTTTTCTAGTTCTTCAATTCTGAGCTACATGTAGATAAATGTTGCACCGTCGTTGGAGTCCGAACTTTCCGAACCGCGATCGATGTTATTTTTTCTGAGACGAAGTTTTGCTTCTTCAGACATTGGCGTCATATTCTTCTTTTTTTGTCCCTTCTTTCTCTAATAATATTTCTGATAACAATTTTAAGGAGCGCTAATTTTTTGATGTGTCACACACGGTGGACTAATATAGAATGATCACAGGGCGTGCGTGCGTTGTTTCCGTTGCTAAGTAGGCCAACTTATGCAAATTAGGTCAATATTTATTGTTTACGCTCAAAGCCGATAATCCTGAAATCAAAGTGAGCGGTCTGCTGTTATAAACACATATCCTAACTTTTTTGTTAAAAATGCTTCTTTTGGGTGTACTGGTTACTATTTTGAGTGGAAAACACATCCATTGCATGCAGATAGACAAATGCCACCAAAATAGACAATAAACAAAAAATGTATAAAATAGTGACTGTTATGTCTACTACATCCTTAATAACCGAGCTTATTACGTGCAGAGAACATGAAACCCGTCCACGCGATCGCGATTCGGTGTTATTTGCTTACTTAATATCACAAGTAACACATCAAATCGGATCAGATGACACACTGGTCCCCGAATCTTGCAACAATTGTTAACCTTACCTGGGAGTACAATATCTGTTTGGATTTGACATCAACAATATGAATGAAACCACTGGTCTCGGCAACAACAAGAAATGCTGAATCATCACTCCAACAAACAACTTCCACTTCAGTATCTGTAAACACACACAAGTTTAAAATAACAGCAAGAACCGACTCATGACACATTGTATTTTGCATATACATGCATGTCATAGGTTTGAAATTAGTTGAAATCCTTTTTTTGGTAAATTTTGAAGGGCTGGCACAGCCAAGAGCTCATGAACAAGTCCACAGCCTAGGGGGCTGGAACAGTTACCATTGTGACACCAAGTGAGATGCATGCATTCCATTCTGCATGTAATCCAGCCTCCTCAAAACCATTCAGAGCACACATTGATATGCACAGGTTTTAATAGCAAATTCTATCAGACCTTATGAAGGTTGCAATGCAGATCCCGTTATTAAAATCACTCAAAAAACTTGCTGCAAATGAAGCTGGAGTATGCGGATTCGAGTTTTGGAACATTCACTGAACCATCAACTAAGTGAATGGACCAATTAGACAGGAGGCATAAACACAGGTTGACAAACTCCTACTTGTATACCCACAAATAAACAAATAAGCAACACACAGCACCATTCAATTCTATGTGAGATATTGCTGAGCCGTAATATCGACTCCCCAGCCAATATAGCACTGTGAGTTTATTACTTTAGTGTTAATAAGAATAATAATATCTTTATTGCATCCCAGTGTTTCTATAAGTTTATAGCAACAAATGATACAAAATATATATATATACCATTGATAAGCATGTGTTGACTTATTTTTAAGGGCAAAACCAGTTGACAGGCCAGCCAGCTGGTACACACAGCATGAAATGCTGTAGCCTGAACACCTTTAATTACAGGACTTATCACAAATTGCTAGTATCCTTGCAGTACGAGCCACAGTCACAATCAGGCGTGCCGTAACAGCGAGTATTTCCTTCATTTACCCAGAACTCTGTGCGAATCCCCCTTGATTCTGGCTGCTGGCCATTTTCGATCATGAAATTGTCGGATATCACCAGAAAACGCGCGATTTGTGCAGTTTTGAATAAAACCTAGTTAGCGATTATGAACAATGGTTATTAACATAACACCTGACCCCCTCTGCACTTTTTGTATCGCATTTTAAGGTAAGAAATCAACATTTGAAATCGACAGGGTGTCGATTTACAAGGTGCCGTGTTTCACAACTTGTTTATTTATTTATATATGTATAGCGGATGATGTTTTTTTTGAAAATTAGTATTTATTGATTTTCAGCCCCCAAGTGACTGTGGTACGAGTATCTGGAGAATCAAATACTACATTCTTGGCTTTATTTGAATTGATCACTTTGATTGAAATTGGGTTGGGTGTAACTTACCAAAATTAAGCGTAAATCGAAACTGTTGACCATTTCCATCAAATATTGACAAATCGTTTGACGCAGCCACACACAGTCCTTCATAAGAACTGCAGCCAAATAACCGAGGATTATGATAAACCTGAAAATGACAGATGAAAAATAAATGTCTAAAGTGTGCCTCTTTCAACAACATCGGACACCACTCAACAATATGTCTATGAAACATATACTTACTTAAATCAAACAACATGTCTTATTGGTAGAAAACATTGAAGTATGCCTACCTCGTCTTGTGGTGAAATTGTGGCCAATGTTTCAACCTGGTACAGTGCTGTTCCACTTTCATGACGAGGACCGAAATTCGCAGTTTCTTCGCCGCCAAAACCGTCCTCGACATTACACCAAGACATTTTAACGGAAACAGTAATACCACTAGAACGTCACTGACGACTGACGATCAGAATGTACTTGGATTTTACTGAAAAGCCGTCTGCAACATTAGAATCGATTCAATGAAATTTTCATTTTTCGAAGTTGGCGCACAGGCTCAGTAAATTTTCCGTTTCCGGTTTCGCAAAGGACATTGGGTAAACGTAAAAACGAAAGAAATATAAACAACATCCAGTGTTTTGTTGTGCGCCCGCAGGCTCCGGCTTACGGCAAATTTTATTTTAAATCAATATAAAACCAGGAATTATGAAATCAAAACTTAAACGATCATTTTTTTAATCAGCCGTGGAACTAACACAGTTGCTTGCTGCGCCATAGCTTATATTACCAATATAATGTTATTGCCATTCAAACAAACTCAAGGTGTCTATAAAAATCAGATTATTATTATCTTTTCCTGTTTGGTCTTAAACTATAGTTTTATTATGTCTCTTTCTTGAACACCTTTTTGAAAACAGAATAAAGAGCAACGAAAGTAGTGTTCTGTGTCTTTATTTTAATGACAACGTTCAATAGAACGTTCAACCACAGTGGTTCAACGTTCAATCGACTCACATAATACGACTTGTGCATCATGGCAACACTGTATGTGAACTGGAGTTTATTTTGGATACGTTTAGTAATATGTGTTATACAGTTTTATAAGGTAAGTACTGTGGTATAATATCTATACAGTGAAGCAGGGGATCGGCCAAGCCTATAACAAACAAACAAACTGAATGACTCTGTTCTAGTATCTTGCTACTACCAAAAACCCTAGCACAACTCTGTGTACTAGACTACCGAGGGGTCATTTGAAACCATGGGGTGGCTGGAAAAGCGTTAAGTTAGCAGTGTAATTTATTTGTCGCGTACATTTTTATTTTTTAACAAGTCTTCCAGACACCCTATGATTTCAAATGACTGACCTGTAAGCAATCAACTGCTGTGATGACAAAATTAAAAAAAAGTGATTAAAAGTTTAAATTTCGCAAATGTGTACAAGTAGAGATATGGACTTACAGCCACGAAGCAATGTGGGGCTGATTGAGACTCCTTCGTGTATGTTTTATTTATTTGATCTGCATATATTTGTTGTTCTTTTATTTTCTCTTGTTTCGGATATTTTCTGATGGACCCAAAGCATACACCAGATTTCAATTAGATTGGGTGCTAAGCTGTTTTGAAATCACCTGGCTTATGAATTTACAGAAAATGAAAAAAAATTGAATTCCTAAACAAGGAAATCAAATACGTAATATAGAATTGTTGGATCTGCAGTATTTAAAAGCTCTACTACAAGAAGGAATAATTGACGTTAGAATATCGTACTAACCATGGTGGCGTGATGATGAGAAGATCTCAGACTAGCGCAGACATGACACGAGTAGGATAGGTCTTGGTTACCTCTCAGGTGTAATATTGTAATGTGCCTATCTACATGGGATTTGTATTATTTTGTTGTATCTAAGGGATTGGTCAGTTACTTCGGCCTAGTGGGGTCGGTGGATCAGTGTGTGTGTGTGGGGGGGGGGTCAACCTGTTTTTGATTTTGCAAATAGGGGGATCACCCTGTTTTTGATACCACGAGGTGGTTGGGGGGGGGGTCACAATGTTTTCCAGAATTCACACATGCGCTTATTCCTATATTTTTTAAATTTTATTTCAGAACAAAGGATAAAAAGAGCTGTGACAGTTTTTGTTCAGCAAATCAAAAAAGTTAAATTTGTGAAAATGCTGATATATAAATTAAAATATATGATGAAGAAATAAATAAATATTTTTTTAAACTTTTAAATATGCATATTTTGCACTGTAAAATGTCAAAATTCAACACAAATTAAAGCAAAAGTCAAAGTTTTCTTTGTTTTCATGATAAGCACAGACTGTGCTTCGGGTGTAAAGCATTTCTGGTCTATAAAATCTACATTTTGTAATCATTTTTCAGGGGGGGTCAGCATGTTTTAAAATATAATGATGGGGTCACCCACTTTTTTTATTTGATAGGGGTGGGTCAACTGAGATTTACAGCTGGCAAAATGGAATCTTCTGACCCCCCTAGGCCAAAGTAACTGACCAATCCCTAAGGCGGCTGTACATTGAACTGTTGGGTCTTAATACCAAAGCGTCTTTGGTTGTATACATCATGTATGTACCATGGAACTATAAACCCCTAGTTCCATGATAGTTCCATGTATGTACATGTACTAACATCTTGCCCGTTACTGCCTTCATTCAATTAAGTTGTCATTAAACAATACACCGGAAGCCCCTTGATGTCATTGTGTCAGTGGATCGTTTCCGTCACATTGTTTCCAGTGTATGAAAAGGTGTGTCGATTAAAAAAAGGAAATTGTAATTAAAAAGGCTTTTCTCGTATTCTATTTTGTTATTAAAACATATTTTTTATACAAATCAACACGTTTCACAAAGTGTCAGAAATAATTTCATATTTTCTTTCTTTACTCAGGTCCTAAGTGATGGACCCCCAGTAACAATGGTATCAGTACCCGACGGCTTCTTTGAAATGGGGTCACAGTTATTAGACGACGACAGTCACGCAACTTTAGTGCACACGATCTTCATATCCTCGTTCCTGATGTCAGAAACCGAAGTAACAAACAATGCATATGTGACTTTTTTGAACGAGGCCATGACGGCCGATAACATTAAAGTCGAAACAAGAGACGGTTCAAGTTCAGATGATACCACAGATGAAGTCGTTGTTGGTAAATTTGGTGGATTTAATCCAAGGAAAGTTTATATCGAATTGTCAGGTAAAGTAGTGGGAATATTCACATGAAATACTTAGCTAGTTGGGTAAATTAAAACAAATTCTTCGGAATTCACCAGACAAGTATTACTGAAAGGGATTGACAGTTGGAAACTATAGGGTGGGAGATGGTTGTACGACTGTGTGAATTAGTTCATTTTCTTCTCTTCATCAAATCTACGAGATTTAAAAAATATATTTCGTTTTTTGTATTATCAGGGGGAAATTCTCACTCTTCTGGGGTTCTCCACACGTGCCGGGGGGGGGATCTCGTCTCGTCTCTATGTCTTGTCCCCTGGAGGTACGGGATAGGGAAAGTCACTTATACTTTACAGTCAAATAAGACACACACAACAAATTACGTTTCAACTTTCGTCTTAGTCGATCTGTCGAGCACTCTATAAGACGCAGCGCCCTGGGGAAAAATCCCCAAGACTATCGCAAGGCTGACCCAAGACTCGCCCAAGACTCTCCAGGACTGGACTTAGACTGCGTCTATCGTGGAGTACTCGCCAAGACCAACTCAAACTCTCTTTATTCATTTTCAAAACCTTAACCAATTACACTGCAGTAAAAAAACTCTAAGGTGTAACCTTCAATCATACAGCCAATCACACTAAGTACTGAATACGTCATATCTTTTGATTAATCGTTCACTACATTAATAACTACGGATACCAACTGTCAGAAATAGTAGTCCGAATAGCGACGGTTATCTCGTAATTAGTTCCAAATCACTGAGCCAAGTTCCGTCCAAAACTTCAAATAGGCCTAAACGATGACAGATATAACACAGCCATTCAGCTAATTAAGTCGATTAACAGATACGGGGGGGGGGGGACAAATTCATCATAGTATTACACTACCCTATATCAACAATACATAATGATAGTAAACAGTGTCAAGAAACAAGATACGATGTAAAGAGGCCCGTGAGACACATACTGTAAAACCATGCATTTTACTGGCATTTAATTTCACTATTTTTATGTTTGAGCTTTTTCACTGGTATTTAAGTTCATGAATTTGGAGAAACATGTTCTATTGTTATTTTACATGTTATGAGCATTTAATTTACTTTATACCAATGAAAAAAGCGAAATTTAAAACAAGTGAATAACTAATACCAGAGGTACATTACTTGAGGTTTGCAATTACGGTGACATGATTATGATACCAAGATCTCGTTACAATCTCGCTCTCGCATAAGCGTTTCAACTCACAAAAATGCGAATGCGCATGCCCGAGGTAACTGGGATAGTGGGATGTCCAGGTGGATCAAAATAGCTGCTCACAATATGACGGATTACGATAACTATATTTTCTGTACATTTTCGATGTATTACATTTTTTCACTATGAATGTGGTAATACATGTTTTATTGTTTTATTACAAACTGCCTATGTCATGTCAGAAGGTCGTAGCATCAGTCGCGCTATCTATGAGATGAGATTTGAACGGGATCTTGGCATGATGTCATGATACAGTACTATGTGCATTGCAAACCCCAAGTAATGTACCTCTGCTAATACCTATACTGTAAGTTGATATAGAATGGTAGCAACCAAATTTGAATTTGGGGATTCTATTCCTGACAAAATCAGTCATCAGGAACACTGTCATGGTTGCTGCACTTGTTATAAAGCACATACGGTACTACTTTATAAATCAAAATTTACAAAAAAATACATATCCAATAACACAGCAGCATATATCCAAATAGTACAGCAGTATATCCAAGTCAAATTTGGTCGGTAAAATACTGTTCAACACAGACACACCAAAATTGAACTTGGTTGACATTTTATAGTGATTTATTTGATTTCAAAGTTTGTAAAGTTATTTTTACAGATACATCACAAAGGACATTTTCCTCACATCTTCCTTTAGCTTCAATGATGACCTAGGTAAGGTAACAATTCTTTTCTTTTTTTGCAGGCACAAACCAATCAGAAGAGCATCCAAGTAACCGCTGTTGGATACAGTATGATGCTGAGAAAAGACTTTTCTCGCTACTAAACGAGACATTAGCTTCATGGCCAGTAACGTTTGTCACCTGGTATGGAGCAGATGCCTTCGCAAAGTTCTACAACTACAGTCTCCCAACTGAAGCAGAATGGGAATTTGCAGCAAAAGGAGGAGATAGAGAACTTCCTTTTGGATCAAAAAATGGTGAGCTGAATCCAGATGTAATCAATTTTGCAGAATCTAATTATGGTCATCCCATCAATGTTAAACACTTTGCATCCAATCCAAACAAGTTGTATCATATCAGTGGCAATGTATGGGAGTGGGTACTGGACTGGTTCTGTCAAGACTTTTACGCAGCTTCCACAACAATGAATCCTTATCAACACATTGGGTTTGACAGCATTAACATGGATCCAGATGTGACTAGTGGATTCATAAAAGACACAAAAGTCATTCGAGGAGGTTCATGGAAATCAACTCGGGGTAGTGATGAGTTATACACATCATACAGAGGAAGACGTTATCCAGGACATGCTAGTAGTGTTGTTGGTTTCCGCGTAGTTCAGCGAACGTCACTGCTAAGGACTTCAAGGAGAGCTATTTCAGAGTACTGTGAACCAAAAGCAGGGAATTGCGGTAACATGCAATCGTTTCAAATGTTAGTGAATTTAGTAGCACTGCTCACCTTTAACTTAATTTGAACTGAGTCATGTTATTATGCTGCTTAATTAAATTGTGCACACGCATCACTCGCAGTGCTCTGCATTTTATCAAGGGACAAACATTTATTCCAGACCATACTTTTTGATTAGTTTTCTTGGAGGTGTAGGGGTGTGTGTGTGATTATTATTGTGATAGCCATGTTGTGAATCATGTAAAGAACAATACCATTAATTTCAACAAATTTATTGCTCCAATTAAAAACACAATACATCACAATTTCTGAATAAATATGATCTATACAAAATAAAATTCACATCTGATATTTAAAAATGACTTTTGTTGAATGTGATAGAAAAAATATAAATTGGAAGACCATGGTGATTTCATAATAGTGGCTGAACTAGTGAAATTGTGCATCTTCTTGGACAAACTTCTCATATTATAAAGACAGTTTATGATTTACTGGCAACCTTGGTTTGAGCAGCATGTAAAACATTTGTGAGAACAGCGCCACCTAGAGTAAAAACTAAATCACATAATACTAGTACTTCCACAAAGACCCAGTAAAAGATGTCTGCCTGTAACCTAGGCAATGCAAAGCAACAATATTAAAATAAAAGTAAAGTAACTATTATGGTTACTAAACTACCCAGTAGTTGCATTCACGCACAGCTCCTTAGCACGGGCTAAGAGGTCAAATTCCTTAGCCCGTGCTAAGAAAATGTGCGTGAACGCTTAAGCATGGGCTAAGGAATGCTAAGTACGGGTTAAGTCTGATCCGAATTTAAGACGCGGTCTAGACCTTAGCACGGGCTAACGAAGTATGCGCGAACGCTTAGCCCAGGGCTAAGCGCCCTCTGCAACGACCTTTGGGTGTGAAAATTGTCCCATGTTCGTATAACGACACTATTCCACCAGTCATTACTCCGCGCTCGCTTCCACACTAATCGGGTCACTGTAGTAGTAGAGCGTACAGCAGCTCCAATCGTAGACAAAAAAAATTTGGTTCGCTGACTGCTACATGCATTAATAAAACTCTGTATTCTGTTACGCCCGTTGTATAGACCACTTTCCCGGAAGTAGCAAAACTGGGGTGCAAAAATACTCTTACTTTGTCATGGCCGAAAATACAAACAAGTCAGTTTGCTGATAGACGATAGAAGGAAATTTCATTTTTGTTACGTCGATTAGTACACCCAGAAACACAATATTACGAGTGCAAGTTTACGTTACACCCCAAAAAGACATGCGTGCGCATACGAAACGCCGTATCTTCGACTTCCTGGAAAGTGGTCTATACTGTTTATGTGCATCCAAATAAGTTGGGTCAGTCTTCTCCTGTGCACGTAGCTTGAAAAATTAGAACAAAACATGCCAGCAGCAGAAATAGAACCTAGCATGTGTCATCCATTTTTCGTTCGTAAATAGCGGCTTACCAAAGATCACCGACTAATGGCACCCCTTAGCCTGTGCTAACGACTGGCCCTCCCTGTGCGTGGACGCAATTGGGTCTAGCCAAAATGCAAATATGCTAGATAAGCCTAAATCAGCTTAAATCTTAGCCCGTACTTCGTAACGTGAACACAACTAGTGAGAGAGTGTTTATTTTGTACAGTGGGTGGATTAGGAATGTTTGTACCAGCATCTTTGTAATCTTGTTGATTCACTGCAAATAATGCTGCAATTTTTTTAATTACCTAATTCATGCTTGCCCTTCAAATATAAAAAGTTCACAAAATAACAACAATGCCTCTTTTTAGTCAGTAAACTGATACTAGAAACAGTTTGGCAGCATCATACATGTTTGAAAGTTTGTCTGGTGGAAATTAGTTGAGGAATATTATTTGGTGTCTAGACAACAGCAAACAGTATAGTGATTGTCCTGACAGTCAATCAACCCTTGTAACCTCAGGAGATAGCAAACAGGTAACTTGAAATGAATCTGTTATATAATGATTTCAAATAAAAAAAAGCAATACATTGTAATTATTTTTCATATTGCACCACTTCTTTTATCAGCTGGCGAATGGTGATACAATTTACTGGCAACATAAAAACATTATACATGAACAATGAGCTGTATTTCATTATTAATAGTGACTGTGAATATATAACGATAGTTTAGCACCTGTATTTATCTGCATATAATGATTCTAACCCTAAAATATAGTTAAACTCCTCTAAAGTGGTGATTCTTAGCTCAGTCAAAAAAATTGTTTTGATACTTTAGATCAGTTGCAAATACATGTACCAAAGTACATCAAATCCGATCAAAGTCATTTCTTTTGTTTACATTCAGACGCATTCTTAAAGTTGCATCAAAAAGACTATGGACCAGTATATAGTGATGCAGCATGATAAAAATATGCCACATATTAGTCCCAAAACACTGATAGATCTATTGCATAACCACCTGAGCAACTTTAAAATTCATGTTTCGTATGTGAACATAATACAAAACACTAATCTTGAAAACATTGTAGAAGTAAACAACCAAGTGATCAAACACTGCATATAAACAACTAAAATTGCAATGATATGGCAGCTGCTAAGAATTCAATGTCTTTCGAAGTATTCACTGTTCTTCTCTTCTAATAAAGCACACAATGGTGAAATGATATATTACATCATGAGACTTGAATATAAATGTCAAAAGTCTTCATTAGATCCAATCACAGACACAAGTTCAGCAGTTATCTCCACATTTCAGCAATGACTTTCAGCTCGCAGTTGATCAGTTTCTTCTGGTTCCGTCATTTCTGACTCACTACCTGACGACGTCAAGTGAATGTCTGATGTACTATGATTATCCGTGTTCACATAAAATGCATCCCCAGGCTTTGTTAGTGCATGTTCGTGAATTTCTTCTAGTTGCGTCACAAGGGTATGAAAGGTAGGTCTCTCTTTTGGTTCCACTACCCAGCAGCTGAGCATTATGGTATATCTGAAATACATAACAGATACTGATTGGTTATGGTGACTGCACACACCCCATCCATATCGTGATATCACACAATAACAGACAATGTGGCAGTATTATAATGAACATAGAAGCCACATACATTTTAAAAACTTGTGCGTGTCAAATGCCGAAACCATGGTTACAATGATAAGTGTTTTAGTTGACTTACAATTCATCTGTACACTGCCTTGGTTGCTTTAATCTTCTACCTCTCTGCAGGTAGTCATGGATATCATGATTGTGGATACCCCGATATGGCGTTTGTGCACGAGTGATAATTTCCCACATAACAACACCAAGTGACCACTGATGAAAGAAAACAGATGACCATTAATTAGAATGTGAATAATTTCATGACTATTTATCTCAGAGTAAACAGTGACCCCGGGTCAGAGTAATTGGATGGCTCAAAACAAATTTTGTTCCATCATTCTGATTTCTAGTTCCTAACTAAGCAGTACGTCTAAGTGAAAGTCTGTCTATCATTGATCACAGCATCTAATGTATTTACCAAATTCTCAAGTCATTAAGTCCAATTAACGTGAAATCTCTAATTTAAGCATCATTTTTTGAATATTTAAGGTTAAATTATTGTGGATATCGTATCGCATTGAGCGTTTACATGCAACCAAAGTCATTTGCTTACGATGAAACTACCAGTAAGTTGAATTTTACTTGCACGTATTAACTTAAACAATTCAACAAATTTATTTCTTGTACATTATTATAAACACTTCTGAGTAATAATAAACAATTGCAAGACTTCGAAAAGAAGTTATTCACTTGTGAAAAGCAGCATGACCAGATTGTGTTACCGTACCGCGATCATTTGCTACCAAGTAATGCATTTGTGTTTGTTTTTATTTGAAACTTCATTTAGAATATACTTTTCATTACCAACGTTGAAAAAACTAAATGTAGTTTTTGTCATCATATGAACATTTTTTGATTGACTGCAATTTTTCAACATTTCGTGACGCCTAGTTCAGAACCAAATTACCCAGTAAGGCCTTTCACTCTTTCCTGACGACTAAATTAGAGTGACGCCAAAACTATAGACTTTACGAAACATATAATAGATTATTTTAGTTGCTTTTTTTTGTTTTACAAAGCGATTTTCTTTGATCTCTAATGTAATGCAGACTACTCACCACATCACTCTGGGTAGTGTACATATTTTCCCCAAGACTTTCCAATGCCAACCACTTGACCGGTACCCTGGCTGCGTTTCCCATACGATAGTAATTACTGTCGTTGAACAGTTTTCTGGTCAAACCAAAATCTGCTATTTTAACAACCAGATTATCATCAAGCCTGAAGAAAAACATTCAATTTTAAAATAGTAGATTCAACAAATTGTCATAAAATACAAATCAATTCAAAAATGGCATGGAGCTATATGGTTTTCATGGAAACAGCATGTTGGATGAATACAAGTATGCTTACATGCAATTCCTGCCGGCTAGATCTCGATGTACATAGTCCTTGTCTGATAAATATGCCATACCCCTTGCAATCTGTACCATGAAATCTACAAGGCGATGAACTGGTAAATACTGCAAACAAATCAAATATGAATCAGTCAAAATATGACAGTCCTGACATTTGCACATTCCAAATACTATATTTACAATGTAGCTCCAAAATAAACGAGAAATGCTTGATTTTGATGATTTTTTAGCACAAAAATGGCCGCCATTTGGCCATTTTGAATCAGATCGTGAAACAAATTGATGTGCATATGTATACTATCATGTATGATGTATGTGTGAAGTTTGATTGTGATTGGTCCAGGCATTTCTATAATACTGGTCCGGACGCACGCACAGACGCACGCACGCACGGACACACGGAGGTCAAAACATAAGTCCCCATTTTCGGACTGCGTCCGAACGGGGACTAATTAAACATATCTGCAATGACCTATTTTACAATATAGTATGTATCATTTAACAACTGAACACATTGAACCAGCATTTAAAAGTTTTTAGCTTTATTCACAAATAAAAATACAAGATCTAATATATTCTTTTGATCAGAATTCATGATTTACGTACATTGTATTTATTTATTTATTATGAATAACACAGCTGCTACGATTAATCAAGGACAATATTGTGAAGTACATCAATGTTTGGGTTAGTGTAAAAGGGAACTGAATGATCTGAATTACAGTACCAACAGCTGCTGGTAGCAGACATAACATATTTTTGAATCTTAATTCACCAGTCAGCATGCACGCACATATTCAAATTAAATGTAAACAAATTATTTTATGTGCATTGATAAAAATTGAACATAATATGCTATGATGACTATGATGGCTCTTTAATAATCATCTTAGTATCCAGAGAATAATCAGAAATGAAAGAAAATAGTCACAGATTTATAAATGATATCAGAAGTAATATACAAATTAGTACTTATATATACTGTTTGATATACTGTAAATATATACAATACCATATGTGACTGACCTGATTATAAAATGAGTTTGTAATTAAGGTTAATCCTAT